TTTGAAAGGAAGAAATTAAAAAAAACCAAAAAAAAAAAAAAAAAAAAAAAAAAAAAGAGAAAATAGTAATAATATAAGCATATGGAAGTCCCTTATATGGCTTCATCCACCATGTAAAAGTGTCCCGGGGGGTCGTAGTTGCATCGCAAACTAGCGCAACTACCCAGCGAAAGGGTAAAAGAAATCCCTGAATTTACGACTGTATATAGGGACGACCCCCCTTCGCATGATAGCGTTAACGGTTTTAAGCGCCTGCGAAAAAAGTACCTAGCACAGGGAGAAGGCAGAACCGCAAGCAGATACTTTTGCATTTTAGAAGGTGTAAATGAAAGGTGTAAAAGGGAGAAAAGATCACACACACGCACAAAAAAAAAAAAAAATAATAATGAAATAAATAATAACAAAACGCCTTCTCTCGTACCAATCTCTCCATCTTAGCAAAATTACACAAAATGAAGGAGCCAACTTGGCACCAGGAACTTGGCCACAGTTACCTGCATAAAATTCCCTTTCAAAAGAATGTAGAAAGTTCACACAGATTGAACATAAAAGGCGAAGTGGACAAATACGAAAGAAAGAAAAAATATATAAAAAGAGAAATGTATAAATTTATGAATGGCATAAAAAAAGGAAATAAACAAAGACATCACTTGAATTATAATCTTGGTGTTCTGTGCAGGATGTCCCCATCCTATGTGAATAATATGTCCGCACTCAGGGCTCAGGATGGAGGTGGTACCATAAATGCACATACACTTGAACTCCCAACAGGGTGTAGCATTTCCAAGGAGAGCAACTATAAGAAGAAAACATCCCCTTGTAGGGATTACGAAAATGAGGGAGATTTAAAGAAGCATAAATTGGTGTGGAATCGAGATGGGTACCACAAAAGGGCATGTCAAAATTACCTTCATGTATTTCTTAACAATATGGACCTCCATTGTTCATCCATTTGTGATGAGAACAACTATGGAGTAAGAGGACCCGCCGGGGGGATGTCCCCATCAGCAGGGTTTTCTCTTTTAGGGGGAAAGAAGTTGCATCGGAAGGTGCACGGAAATGGTTGCAAGGATGGAGTGGGTCCACATTGGGGGGAGCCAGGTGCGGTTATCCTCCCTCACATCACTTCCCCACGAAAGAAGAGCAAGAAGGTTGAGCTGCACAAATGGACCCTACAAAGGCAGAATGGAAGCGGTTATCAGAGAGGCAGCAGCAACTGCTCCAGTGAGTCCACAAAAATCATCGAGCAGTTTGTAAAAAGCATCGAACGGAATCAGTCAGGGCAAAAGGAAAAAAAAGAAGACATGGACAAGGAAAAAATAAATTATGCCACCGTCCCCTCAGATAGTAACCCCCTAAACGCAATGAACGTTCAAAATGTGACCATCCTTAACGGGTACACAATTACAGCGAAGAAGAGTAAGATTCACGCCGATGATCAGGATGCCTCAACGGTGCTGTTAGAATACAAACAGATGGTGAAAGACAATAAAAAAATGTGGAGTTTGCTTCAAAGAGTCATGTACCAAATTCAAGTGACGAACAGCAGTGTGGAAGTAAATAAAAAAATTGAAAAAGGTATAAGTACCTACTTGAGGAAAGTCGAAAGGATTGTGAACAAATATAGGGAAGCCCTGGAATGTGATGATTTTAACAAAACTACAAGACTGCATCGCCACTTTAGGGCCAATGAAATGGTGATGCTAAGAAGCGTACTGCACTATGTCATCGATCTTATGCGTCACGTTAAGTACGAGTGCAAGGATCTGCGGCGGGAAATCGAGCGAGAAATTTGTGAAGTGGAGGAGGCAATTTGGCAATCCCTCGGCATGTCGCGTCTATGAGGCAGTTCGCCTGCTGGGCCGTTACTCCGTCGGTTCGTAACGCACTGCTGCGTAACGTGCTGCTGAGTAACCGATTGGTAGATTTTTTTTTTTTTTTTTTTTTTTTTTTTTTTTTTT